CGCATAGTGCAGCAAGTAACCTCTCGCAGTCGACGGCGCACAATTCGGCAAACGATGCACGCCACTCAGCGGCGTGGTGAACAACACGCGGCAGTGATTCTTTTTTAAAATCCTTTATATTAAGTTCGCTTGCTTGCTTGCTTGCGTGCTTGCGCGCTTGCGACCGTGCACATCTTTCAGTCGTTTTTTAACCCACTTCCCGTGATCCAATCGAGCTGACATTTTGCACACAGACTCGTTGTGCGTGACAATTAATGTTCGTGAAAATTTGTTTCCAAAATTTTACACTTTTTAGGAATTTTTTTTTATATTTAATTACCAATTGCTTAATGGTGGCAGGCAATCATCTGACCCATAGGTGGCAGCCATCTCAAGCCAGAGGACGAGAGGACTCTAGCCGCCACGCATATAAAGGATTTTTAGTGAAAAACTTTGTTTTTACGGGTTAATTTTTTTCCCACCTCCTTTCGCGTTTCCTCCGCGCGGTAAATTTTCTACGACAACCGGTCAAACTAAACGAACGAAAACGCGTTCACCACGGACGACGATCTCGAAAAGGTGGCGTGTAATTACAAAACAAACAAACAAACAACCCAGGGCCCACTCCGACGTATCGGGGATTTGCGGGTTGTTTGTAGGAGGGAGCAGTGGGCCACAGTGGTTTTGCAACACCGCGCTTTGAAAGCCGCGTGTGACCTTGCGTCTCGATTCCTCGCTGCAAGGCGCTCAGCGGTCCCGGGGACTCCCACTCCCTGATCTCGTCAAGGAGAATGACAAAGATAAACAAAGATCCCCCGTATAGGATGCAACATACTGTAGGGGCAAGTGCTGTTAGCGAACACCTATGAAGGCCCAAACGGTACACGAGGGGGTGGGTGGCCAGCACCACGCCCGACCGCCTTTGTCTCCCCAGTGCCGATGTTTACACATCGGCACTGGGTACTCATTTGAGGCCGAGTCGATCTAGGGGAGTCCCAGGACCGGTTCAGATAATCGTCATTGGGTGTTGGCCGTGAGCGGAAATCGAACCCGGGTCGCCAGGTTCATAGCGCAGCGTGCTAACCGCTACACCAAGAAGCATGAACCACCATCGTCACGTGCACTGCGGTTATCCTCGCAGCAACATCAGCGTTCTTTTTGGGCTGTCCGTCGAACAAAAACTGTCACAGTCATCGAGCGCCACTTTCAGACGCGCTTCTGCGGCCGTCTGGAACGCTCTTCCCCTTCCGGTATTAGGAAACCACTGAAGTTGTGCACTTTTAAATCGTCCAGATTGAAAACGTATTTGTTTAAAACTGCTTTTGTGTTTCGTTTGTCGTCGTTTCACCGCACCTCCGATTGGCACGGTTGGCTACGTACGGTGCGAGAGAAGTTCAACATTCATACCAAAAAAAAAACACATGGCAATGCTATGTTTTTCGGGTTGTTATCGCGTGTTGTTTCGGCACGATGTCCAACGCTTGACTCCACGTGCCCCCGGGGGAGCTTCAGCTCCTATTTAATTTCGTGAAATGAAGAAATCTCGCAAACACTCGTAGCGAAACGTTTGACAACGTGGCGAACAACACTCCGTGCACGTACAACCCAGAGACCGCATCATGCCGAGCCGTATGGAAAAATCGCGAAAAACCCCCAAGCAGTTAGCAAAAAAAAACTCTTGGATTTTTTTTCTGCGTTTCTTTGCAACAAGTTAAGTAAATCTTATCTTCGAAATTTTTTTCTCCAGAGGCTAGCGCGCAAATGCACCAAATGTGAGAGGTGGAGTGGAGCGAGCGCGATCATTGACCCTTGGCAAGAAGCTAGGACTTGAATCCCTCTGCCTGGGCCCTTCAATCCCTCCATTCGAGCCCTTCGATCCCTCACCCATGCCAGAAAATCCATCCGTGGCTCGCACGGTAAAAGCCAGCATTTCAGATCATGTAACCGAACACACACACAATTACTCAAGAGGCTGCTCACAGAAAGACTGCGCTACTTCGGATCACTTATCAACAACCACATGGTTCAAAATATATATTATGTCATGTTAAATAACCCACGGTAAAATAACACCCACGGACTGCTCCTACTTACAAAGGGGGGTTCTATGTACAAAGAGTCAACGGTCCACGGGCAACGACACGATTAACACACAACTGCAATGCGCCGCGCGCGGCTCTCCTGAAGACGGAAGCTTGTGTTGCCTCCGAAACGTCGTGATTTTTATTTTATTTTACTTTTATTAATTTTAATGTTTTACCTACGTGACTTTACCGAAAAAAACCTAAGAATATGAATATAGGCTCTCCTTTTGCCTTGGCACATGGATGCTCGTACTCTTAGTTATTTTTCGGTAAAGTCACGTAGGTAAAAAATAAAATAAAAATTAATAAAAGTAATAATAGAAATGAAATAAAATAATAAATCACGACGTTTCGGAGCCCCCCCCCCCAAGCAGAGGGATGATGGGCTGAGTCAACCGCCCCCCCCCCCCGAAACGTCGTGATTTATAATTTTATTTTATTTCTATTATTACTTTTATTAATTTTAATTTCATTTTTTACCTACGTGACTTTACCGAAAAAACCTAAGAGCGTGAATCCTTGCAGTCACGAAAGCTTCAAATCTAGAACATGGATGCTCGCCCGAGCGAGTCTGGGTGTGACAATGTTATAGTATTGACCTTCACTGGGTGCTCGCTAACAGCACTTGTCTTGGTATCGACCAAAGGAAATGAGCAGCGATGCTGTTCTCCTCTGCTGCTTCACAGCCCCGAGGTCCTGCCGTGTAGATTTTACATCCTCCGTTGGGCGACCACTTTTGACTTCCGCACAAACTGGTAATCATTTTATCGACCCCCCCCCAACCAGAGGGATGATGGGCTGAGTCAACCCCCCCCCCCCCACACTAAACCAGACACCGATTGAGCGCCCGCTAACTCTCAACTGCCCAGCCACCGCCACCTTGCCGGATGAGTTTGTATTTAACAAGTTCGATCTTTTTTTCTCTCTCTCTATCGTTTTCCTCCCTCCCTCCGCTCCCACCGGCATGACACGAACGGCAGTCAAACACCAAACACTCCTCGGGAGATTCCACGATTTTGTGTCGCGACACGCGCGGAAATTTGCCGTTCACGCCCGGTCACCCCCCCCCCCTCTCCCCCCCCTGGCCGTCGTGTTTTCTTTCGTTGTGATTCTGCGCTAGAATTCGCAACAACAACACAATTCATAGGAAACTAGACGCTTCTCGCCTACATTTAATTTGTTACTTTTGCCCGCGTTTAAGTGTCCCCCCTCCGCCTCGTGCGATATGTTTTGCTGCCGCCACGTGACCACCAATGCCCCAGAGAGGCGTTTGCCTCCTTTGTTTCGTCGTGGCCAGCGAGTCTAGGAGCGTTGTGGTCGCTACCACCTGGGGTGGCAACATTCGATCAGTGTCACTCCACTGGACAAGTGTCCACCGTGGACGGACATTCTTCACCTGAAGACGGCTGCTTGCGTTGTAGCCGAAACGTCGTGAGAATGATTTTATTTTATTATGTTTTATTTTTATTATTTTATTACTTCCCTTCTACGTGACTTTACCGAAAGAACCAAGAAGACATACACACACTGTTTTATAGTCACGCTTCGCATGTATTTAAATTTTATGTTAGACCTTGACTTAAAGCTTGCGTGACTGCAGGAATACGTATTCTATGGGTCTTTCGGTAAAGCCACGTAGATAGAAAAATAATAAAACGCCGTGATATTTTTTATTATTTTCTCACTACGTGGCTTTAACGAAAGAGCCGTTAGAATATTTTCTGTTAGAAGTTTCACATCGCAAGCGAGACTGTTTTCCCCACAAAATGATATTCTCTGTCATGCGTACTAAGGTACACGTAAAAAAACAAATGTTGATCCTAAAAAAAACTACTGCAATGAACTTGCTAACATACATAATTGTGATCTAGAGGTGACATATTTCAAGAAAATAATTGATAGCAATTGCCACCCTGGTTAGTACCCGACAATCTGTCTCAGAACCAATGTCACAGGGATCACAGTGCCAACTAACGACACTTGCCCCAACAGCCTATGGCAGTAGTAGTAGGCTATACTGGGGACCTTTGCCTTTGTCCCTTTCTCTGTTTAATCACCTGCCCCCCTGGAGCAGTGATGGGATGTGCTTAACGCCTCACAGCATTATCTGCCCCCCCCCCCCCCATGGACTTCCGGTACAATTATCCCCTGGAAAATGCCACTAGTTGCCTGCTGCCACAGAAAAACACCGCCCCCCCCCCCCACGTTTAATCTGCCTGCGGAAATGCCAATGAATGATCCTGCATGTAATTAAAACTACATTTTTTGTCGTTCTAATGCACAAATAATAATAATAATAATCCAATGCCACGTGTTGTCAGGACAACGCATGCTGCCACGCGGTCCGCTGGCCAAGGCGGGTGGGGATCTCTCTAAGCGTGCGGGGAGATGCGGGCGCTCGTTTGGCAGCCTTCAGAATGATCCGCCTTGAAGACGTTTGGAGGCGAACCTTCGAAAAGTAATTCAAAAGAAGGCAACGGGCGTTTTTCAGAACTGTCGATGAGCATGCCACGCGAAGGGCGGGCATCGTGTCCTGATCGAGACATCCCCTAGAAAGAAATCCCAATAATAATGTTTACTTTTCGATTTAAAGCTTTCGTGACTGCAGGGATTCATCTTCTTGGTTCTTTCGGTAAAGTCACGTAGAATGGAAATAATAAAATGATACAAATAAAACATAATAAAATAATTCTCACGACGTTTCGGCCACAACGCAAGCATCCGTCCTCAGGTGGAGAACAGGTCTGTCGACTCTGTCTTCTCGACAGAACTCTTCTCCACCTGAGGACAGCTGCTGGCGTTGTGGCCGAAACGTCGTGAGAATGATTTTATTATGTTTTATTTGTATTATTTTATTATTTCCATTCTCCATGACTTTACCGAAAGAACCAAGAAAAATAATGTTTACATTTTGCATTTAATTCATCGTCCTGTTGTTGTTGTTGTTGTTGTCTAGCCACGAGTTTTGACATTACTCGTCATTTTATTTTGCGTCGTTTAAATGTTTAATTTACGGCACTCAAACGGAATTTGATGTCTCAAAAGCCTTTTGTCATTGTTTTCCTGCCTAATGAATGCCCTGTGAATCAGTAGCGATTCCAAGAGGTAGCCGGGTGGCTCGGAGGTCAGAGCACTGATATATACTGGCACCTTGGTGACAATTTGTTGATTACCTCGTCTGGTATACAGGAGGTCGTGGGTTCGATCCCGAACCTGACGCCTGCTGTATATTTGGAGTTTGTGTGTCTCTCTCATCATCATCACGGTGGCTAGAATATGTTTACTCCCTCGCCTGGTGTACAGGAGGTCGTGGGTTCGATCCCGAACCTGACGCCTGCTGCTGTATATTTGGAGTTTGTGTGTCTCTCTCATCATCATCATCATCACGGTGGCTAGAAGATGTTAACTACCTCGCCTGGTATACAGGAGGTCGTGGGTTCGATCCCGAACCTGACGCCTGCTGCTGTATATTTGGAGTTTGTGTGTCTCTCTCATCATCATCACGGTGGCTAGAAGATGTTAACTCCCTCGCCTGGTGTACAGGAGGTCGTGGGTTCGATCCCGAACCTGACGCCTGCTGCTGTATATTTGGAGTTTGTGTGTCTCTCTCATCATCATCATCATCACGGTGGCTAGAAGATGTTAACTACCTCGCCTGGTATACAGGAGGTCGTGGGTTCGATCCCGAACCTGACGCCTGCTGCTGTATATTTGGAGTTTGTGTGTCTCTCTCATCATCATCACGGTGGCTAGAAGATGTTAACTCCCTCGCCTGGTGTACAGGAGGTCGTGGGTTCGATCCCGAACCTGACGCCTGCTGCTGTATATTTGGAGTTTGTGTGTCTCTCTCATCATCATCACGGTGGCTAGAAGATGTTAACTCCCTCGCCTGGTATACAGGAGGTCGTGGGTTCGATCCCGAACCTGACGCCTGCTGCTGTATATTTGGAGTTTGTGTGTCTCTCTCATCATCATCACGGTGGCTAGAAGATGTTAACTCCCTCGCCTGGTGTACAGGAGGTCGTGGGTTCGATCCCGAACCTGACGCCTGCTGCTGTATATTTGGAGTTTGTGTGTCTCTCTCATCATCATCATCACGGTGGCTAGAAGATGTTAACTACCTCGCCTGGTATACAGGAGGTCGTGGGTTCGATCCCGAACCTGACGCCTGCTGCTGTATATTTGGAGTTTGTGTGTCTCTCTCATCATCATCACGGTGGCTAGAAGATGTTAACTCCCTCGCCTGGTGTACAGGAGGTCGTGGGTTCGATCCCGAACCTGACGCCTGCTGCTGAATATTTGGAGTTTGCATCTCTCTCTCCGCGTGGTTGCGTGGATTTTTCCCCCGGGTCCTCCGGATTTTCTCTCCACATTTAAAAACATGCACGTGGAGTATTAGGCTACTGCTATACATTTCCACATGATAAGCCACTTCATTGAGCTATCACTTGTGGCAAGGTCGCTTATGGAAAAGATCTATATAGCTCAGTGGGCCTTACATGGTAAAATCAAAATAGTTTAGTTTTAGTTGAGGTGAAATTTGGGTTTCAAACATCCGTGACTAAAACCACGACTTCAAGTGAAACAAATTCATGGTTTCCACCCGGTTACCAATTAATGCGGAAGAAAGCCCAAGTATTATATTTAGTTTTGCAACTTAATTTGGACAATTTCCATTTCTGAGAATTAACGACAGTTTCGACTGCCATGGGACGAACGAGGGCCAATCTCATAGTAGAGTGTGAGGAAAGAGTGCACCCATTTTTTTTTAGCGTCAAGATGAAAAGGACGCCCCCTCTTTGAAGTGTTCTGTGAAATTGTGAGACAAGAGGGGGATCCACGCTGCTCTGCCCGGTTTCCGGATGGAATCTTCGCCGAGCGAACACGATGCCCGATAAACTCGGCAGGAATACCGTTGGGGTGTAAAAAAAAGAAAAGAACGAAAACTTATTTTTATAATGCCCTTTCAATTTAGCGATAAAACAACTCATAGTTAAAGATAATCTCTTTCACTTTAAAATTAAAAAAAATTCAGACCTACACATCGCATTTACATCTCAAAACAAGCTGCCGATGTTAGAATACATTTCTTTTGAAAATTCTCCATTTTACAAAGCCCACAACAGACCTCGTTGTTTAGCGCCCTACACAAAAGTGGGATCTCGAGGGGCTCCCGTAACGGAAGGTCACAGCCGTGTGAGCAAAGCGATTGCGAGGGGCTGCACCTTCACCATGCGAATGGAACTCCACCGTTTGGTTGTTGTTTTCACACAGAGAAGGGAAGATGCGCGCCGATATTTCATGCGGGCACAAACGCTCTTGGGCTCTAAATAATAAACCTCGTTTTTTTTGGGAGGGGCGGTTTTTCATCTCCCGAAACCTCACGCTTCTGAGAAATGCGAGCGGACGGAATCCTCCCGCAGACGACTGTGCTTCTCCAGGTCCTCCCCGTGCAGCCGAGAGCGCCTCATCACCACCACCGTATACCTCCGCCTGCCCCCACACAGCACACACGCGCACAAAACACAAAGATCCTCCGTATAATCTCGATTTGAAGTTTTCGTGACTGCAGGGATCCATACTCTTTGGTTCTTTCGGTAAAGTCACGTAGGTATACAATAAAATACACAAGCGTCCGTCATCAGGTGGGACAACCACAGCAAGAAACAATTGCTGAAGCAATTGTTTCTTGCTGTGACTTTACCGAAATATCCAAAGAGTAAGTATCCTCCGTATAGCCTTGACAGATTCTAGGGGCAAGTGCTTTTAGCGAGTAGCACCTACGAAGGCCGGCACAGCACACAAGGGGGTGGATGGCCAACACCACCCCCGACCGCCTTTGTCTCCCCAGTAGTGATGTTTGCACACCGCACCAGGTACTCATTTGAGGCTGAGTCGACCTAGGAGAGGCCCAGGACCGGGTCAGATAATCGTCACTGGTGTTGGCCGTGAGCAGGAATCGAACTCGGTTCGCCGGGTTCGTAGCAGTGCTAACTGCTTCACTACCGCTCCCCATACACGCACACAGACATACACACAGACACACACAGACACGCACACAGACACACACAGACATACACACACATACATGCGCGCGGGCGGGCGACGACGCTGTGACCGCGATGCAAAGGGGCAAAATAACTTTTAATCAAAATCAAAATATGTGTTACATTTTTACTTAAAACTTTCGTGACTGCAGGAATTCGTATTCTTTGGATCTTTCGGTAAAGTCACGTAGATAGAAAAAATAAAAGTAAATAAAATATTATGAATAAAAAATCATGTTATATAATATTTTTTCATTTATTTTATTTTTTCTATCTACGTGACTTTACCGAAAGATCCAAAGAATATAACAATATTTATACATTATGGGTTTCAAGTCTGGCTGAAACATCTTCAAATAAACACCCAATGTAGCAGGAACCGCCTTAAAACTAGTTCTTGGACTCAGCGTGGCTTTCCTATATCAATAAATAACCATCATCATCATCATCAGCGCTGTTGACTACGTACAGCGCGAAAGACGTTCAACATACGTATGTACACACGTGTGGAATCTTCCCAGTGACTAAGGTTCTCCGAGCGAAGACTCATCCACAGCAACATCATTTCGCCCTACACCATTCCGGTTTGCGTTCACCGTCGCCGACCGTCACCGGAAGTTTTTCTTTAGGGCTCCGTGCAAAAAATCGAGGTCGCGGGCGCATGATCGGTGACACCGACACACCGAACGCGTGACCCCCGCACAGGAAGAAGCGTGACCAGACATCTCACCTGACGACGTAGGCGGCGATGAGAACCGCGGCGCACAGCACGAAGCCTCCGATCACGACTCCGGACACGGCCGAGCTCCTGACGACGTCTGCAAAGCATTTTAACGACAGCGGATGGGAGAGGGGGGGGAAATAAAAACAATAAATCGGCCTTTCAAATTAACAAGCAGACAGGTAAGACTGATGGATGGACACACAGACAGAATAATGGACAGACAGGCTGAGAGATGGACAGATGGGAAAATGGACGGGTAGACGGATAGACAGACAGACAGACAGATGGTTGGACAGACACATAGACAGACGGACAGGCGGACAAGCAGGCAAGAGATCTGGACAACACAGACACAACACAGGCACAGACAGTTCAGTTTAGATGCGTTTCTAAACCGCACTAGGAACTGGCGGTAGATACAGAATCCGATGAACTACAAAGCTCCCTTCTCACAGACGCCCAGGATTTGACAGACGTCCTCGAGGAATGACGCTGCGGTGGCGAGCGCAGAGTGGCGATGCTCACGGTTGCACAACGCACATAGTGGGGTGTTGGGTGGAGGAGAACCCCCGGGCCAGGACAGCTCCATCGCGGCCGTGTTTTCGAACGCCCGGCGGGCTCCGTAGTAGTTGGTGATGACCTGGAAGGCAAGGGTTACAGAGCTCTGAGTTCTTGGCAAGGCGGGGGGCGGGGGGGGGGGGGGGGGGTTGTGACGATCATTCGCACCGACGGGAGCTCAGCGAGACGAGGAGGTGGGATCGATGGATCGAGCGGCGCGCGAGATGCTTGTCACCCGCTGCGCGGTTTGATCCCTGTAAGAGGGCCCAGCGTCGACAACCAAACCGCTTGGTGGCGAGATGTTAGCTACCTCGCTTGGTGTGCAGGAGGTCGTGGGTTCGATCGCGATCCGGACGCCTGCTGTATATTTGAAGTTTGCGTGTCTGTCTCCCCGTGGTCGTGTGGGTTTTTATCCCGTTACTCCCGTTTTTTCCCCCCGTCACACATTTAGAATCGACGGGCATTTCGAGTATTTGGCTGCTGCTATTCTCCATGTTACAAAGCCCACAACAGACCACGTGATCATGAGTCCACGTCATTTAGCTATCACACGTGGCTAGGTCGCTTCTGAAAAAAGGAGCTGCATAGCTCAGTGGAGCATTGCCTGGTAAAGTAAAAAGATAAATTAAGTTTATGGTTGACTTTATTTCAGAAGCCGAGCAGCGTTGGGGCCCGGTGGCTTCCTCTGGGGGAGTGTTGGCGGCCGTGCGTTGTCACATGCCTCGTCACCCGTTTAGCCCGCACAGCGAAGGCGACGTTGAGATTAATCATCGCAAACGCTTTGTCAACATTTTCGACCTCGCTGCAGGAGTGTTGCTGTAGTGCAGTGGTTATTCTCAATCTTTTTTTTTTTGGGCTACTGTGTTTCAACCGAGTACACACCCGCCTCCCTCCCCCCCCCCCCCCCCCATTGCGCCTAACCCAATGTAGTTCTGAGAAATAAATGTTCGAATAATGGACATCAATACTTGAAGCAATGGTCCATGTTGCGAGGTATCCTAACACAAATTCAACGGACACTCCGCAATGCGCGCTGTAGCGCTGTAATGTGTTCGTGCTCGCTGGTTACTCTTGGCAACCACTTTTGTTTTTTACGAGCAATGAGTTTAGAAAGGTATTCTACGTCGTTACAGGTTGCCACGTAGACTCAACATTTTTATCGTAGTCATTTCATATCGGCAGATTCATACGCGACTCTTCACCAATTGACTCTCGCGCATGCTATCGTTTCACGCATTTATAAGTCACCTCACGTTCCCCCACCGTCCCCCTGGGAAGTTGCCACGTGAACTCCCCGGGGAGGGGGGGGGGTCTGCGTCGCCCCCCTCGTTGAGAAGCACTATCGCAACTTGCCAAACTTTAATTGCATCGCCCCTCACCTGCAAGGGCTTCAGGTTGTTTGCTGGACGCGATGTGTATCCGCCGGGTCATTTCGTCTCACTTTTATTATTATTACTGCTGTCTTAAGATTCGCTTACCTTAATCAGAATCGGAATATGTATTTACAATGGGAGGAATCCGATGAGCTATGAAGCTCTTTTCACCGATGTCCAGTCAGGGCGCGGGGTACGAACGTTACAACAACAAAGAATACAAAGACGTGACGGTAGTGCAAAGTACTAAGAAACAAATATAAATAAAACTAAACCATCCCCATCCTATACAAGGCAAAGCCCACTGAGGTATCAACTTATTTTTCAGAAGCGACCTGGTCACCACAAATGATAGCTCAACGAAGTGGCCCATCATTTGGACCATTCAATCGCAGCAAAACAATCAAAATAATCCCAAAAGCGCGTTTAAAGCTTCGAGGTGGCACTAAGTCTCGCGGACTCATTCCCGGAGACTCCGCCCGCAACGAGCCCGACCTCGCGAATTTCGCCACATCCCCCGAAAGCTAAGCACAGGCGTTGGAGGTAGGGCTGAACGATTTTGGGAAAATATCTAATTGCGATTTGTCTGTCAGATATTGCGATTTGGTATGCGATTACATTTTTTTAAGATTCCAAAGAACACAGGATGAGATGTTACTATCCTTTGTGCAAGCACTTCCAAGAGTTCATGAACAGTGAGCCTGGTGAAATTTGGGGAGCGCATCGTCAGTAGTGTACCTTTGGTTCCTCGGGTGTTTCGGCCTTTCACGCTATACACCCTCCCCAAAGGCGGCCAGCGACAGGGTGATCAATCCTACGCTTGCGTCCCATTCCCAATTAGTCATAGGAGTTGCCTTGTTGTTGATAGCCAACATCCCATGGGACTATGCATGGCAGGGGCGTCCTCCTCCCTGAGTCAAGCATTGTTGACTGCATACCTCCTGGCCCTCTCACTTTGGGGCCCAGCAAGTTTCAGTTCAATATGCACTGTGTAATAGATTTTAAAAAGTGTGCTGGAGCATTACCACATGATACCATCAAAATATGAACTGCTCTTTATATTCTAATGCAAGGATGATAACTTAAAATATATGAATTGCTTCCAACATGTATTTATTAACATGTTTTAATTTAACTAGAACAATAAAACATAGAACAATTCTTAAGTGAAATAAATAAAGTTAGAATAATAAAAAATAAAACAATTCCAATAAGAAAGTAGCGGAACAGGACTTTTCAAATCGCAAAAAATCGCAGCCTTTGCGATTTGCAAACCGCATTGTTTCAAATTGCGATTTCGATTTGAAATCGATTAATCGTTCAGCCCTGGTTGGAGGAGCCTGCACGCTGCGCCCAGCGCCGCGAGGTTTCTGTGGGCAGCAGACGTGGCAAGGAATCGGCGGCTGATTCCACGGTCGTCACCGTCGCTTGTGCGCGGCGGTGGCGGCGTGCTTGAAGAATGCTCGAACAACCCCGCATGGCGCGGGGGGAGCGGAGGGGGGGGGGGAGGCCCTCATCCAAGCAGTGGATTGATGCGAGGGCAACGCGCGCGGCCACGTTTTAAGGGTGATTAACACTGTGGGTCTTGCGGGCCGACGTTTTGTGGTTGCCCCCCATTGAAGCAGTCAAATCCTGGTCTATGAATTATTATTATAATTACCGTGACAATATAGTGTACTGGGAAAAAGACAAACGTTTACATAACCCCCCCTCCGGCCCCCCACCTCTCCACGCCCCCCCCTCCCCACTCATTGCTGGAGCTGTCCACGCTCAGTAGGGCGAGACCACGAGAGAGCGTGGAGCCACCACTTGTACAGAGCACGGACCATGATGCGTCAAAGGGGGGGGGGGGGCGCAGCGTTCAAGGGGGGGCACAGCATTGGGGGGAGGGTGGGGCACAGCGTTGGGGGGAGTGGGGGGACAGCATTAAGAGGGGTGGGGCATAGCGTTGAGGGGGGAGCACAGCATTAAGGTGGGGGGCACAGCATTAGGGGGGGGGGCACAAACCTTCCCCGCACCTTTCCACACCTTCCCCAGCCCCCCCCCCCCTCCCCCACGCAGATTCGCCGTTGAAATCCCACAAATGATGTCACAGCACATCGCCTTCCGCGGCGTGGCACTTAATAAAACGCAATAATTGGCTTTCAGCTGTCCCCGGCACTTGAAGGCTCCCGCCTTAATGCCGCCAATTAACTCGCAAATGTGGCAGCCGCGTTAGCGCCCGCCGTGCGAGCGCCCGGGCGTGCGGGCGGGGGGTGGAATCGGCAGCGGGGTCACCGTGACGCGTGGCGATGACCCCGAGATAAACACCCTCTGCGCCGAAACGTCTGCGGGGGGACAATCGTATCGTTTGCGTTTTTTCGCAAAATGACCGCGTCGCGATTCGTCGCCACTGCGGTTTATTCCTTTCCCGTCAGTTCATACCAAAAAACGAACACGGTTGTTCAAAGTCGTTAAATAAATGGCCGTTGCCTAAAATATGAGTGACGCGTCTGAAATGGGTTTTGGGTTATTTTTTTTCTTCTTTCCCGGAGAAAATTTGGCGGCGTGGCCATTGTGAGCGTTCGGGATTTTGTGATGTCATGCCGATGAGATGGCACGTGGCAGGCTTGTGTCGAGCAAACATCGGCCGAAGTACTTTTAAAGTCGTCTGTGTTTGTACTGTATATACTACACTGGAAGTACAGCGAAACGATGGCATAATAAAATAAAATGGAACAATTACATCGTGGCAGCCAGTGATAAGAAACGTCGTGGTGGCGAGATGTTATCTCCCTCACCTGGTACGCAGAAGATCGTGGGTTCCATTCCGACCCTGACCCCTCCTGTATGTTTGTAATTTGCGTGTTCTCCCCGTGGTCGCGTGGATTTTTCTCTGGGTCCTCCGGTTTTTCCAAATTCACATTTAGAATCAACGTCACGCGTTTGGAGCATTTGGCTGCTAAACATTTCCACACGATGAAGGATTAAGCCGCTTCTGAAAAATAAGCTAAGAGCTCAGTGGGCCTTACCTGGTCAGATAAAAAAAAAGAAAATTTTAATAGTTATAAATACCTCTTGCTTTCCAGTGTCTCCATCCGTCATGCCCAGCACGGAGAAGTCGCCTTCCCTGTCCCCGTTGTCATCTATGGACACGGGCCCAGCGATGCCTGCAGCGATCCGAATCGAATCCTCCGTGAGTTACCGCACATTTAGGCATTCGCGACGTTCATATCAAGGGCAAGACCGTCGCGAAGGCACTGCACGTCACAGCCGTTAGTTGTCCTCCCCCCCCCTCCCCCGACACCTTCGATTAGCGCGGTTGGCTTCGTACGGTGCGAAAGAAGTTCAACGTACATACGTACACACAACCGGGTATCGTCTGCAGTAGCACGTGGTGTTAAAGGTCAAAAAAGGTCAAAGGTGCAACCCTCACTGTCTCGCCACCGAATCAGAATCTTTACTGAGACTGGAGGCATCAGATGATCTCTGAAGCCAACGACGTCGCGGGATCTTGAATGTCCACTGCGTAGCAGGCGGCGAGCGGTGTCCACGATCCCGACGCGCACCAAAAAACCGCGGTATTTACCGGGGCGGCCCACCGGATGCTTCGAGGGGCGGGCGAACGCGCGAAACCGCCAGGCCGCGTCGCCGCCCCGGGACGGCAACGAGCGATAAAAATTAACCCGTAAAAACAAAGTTTTTCACTATAAATCCTTTATATGCGTGGCATCGGTTTTATTTTATTATTCATTTCTGTTTTTCTTGAGTAAGAGTTTCATTTTTATCACATTGGTATTAAAAATAAAATATGAAAAAAAATGTTTTCCTAAAAAGTGGAAAATTTTGGAATTTTCTTTTCACGAAAATAAATTGTCACGCACAACGAGTCTGTGTGCAAAATGTCAGCTCGATTGGATCACGGGAAGTGGGTTTAAAAACGACCGAAAGATTTGCACGGTCGTAAGCGCGCAAGCAAGCAAGCAAGTGAACTTAATATAAAGGATTTAAAAAAAAAGTAAACCCCCCCACCCCCCCCCCCCAAATGTATAACGACCTTGGAAAGTGCGGTTCCACATGAGGCGCGTGACCTCGAGACCCGAGGGTTGTTCCGCCTGCTGGTTGCCCGCGCCGCTCAGCGCATCGCGCAGGGCCAGGGAGTAGAGGACCATGGCGTCGTGGAAGCCTTCGACGAACATGTTCACCTGTCCATGCGCGAGCGCACACGCGGACACACGCACAAAACAAAGACAAACATCCCCCACCATGTAGCCTTGGCAGGCAGTCGGGGCAAGTGCTGTTAGCGAGTAGAACCTATGAAGGCCGGCACGGTATGCATGGGGGTGGGTGGCCAGCACCACGCCCGGCCATCTAGGCGAGGCCAAGGACCAGTTCAGATAATCGTCACCGGTGTTAGCCGTGAGCGGGATGCGACCACTACCAGTACCGCTCCCTACGACGCACAAGATAAAGATCCCCCGTATAGCCTTAACAGACTGTTGGGGAAAGTGCTGTTAGCGAGCACCACACACACATGTACACGCAGACATGCGGTGACGCACACGCATGGGAACTTAAAACACACAAGGCCACGAGATACCCTTTAATATCAGTCATTTGGGTCGCTGGGTCTGTATTGCAGAGTGCCAGCCATGGCACAAACCTCTCCCCGCAGAGTCTCACAAAGACAAAGATCCCCCGTGTACTGTATTAACCTTTAACATACTGTTTGGGCAAGTGCTGTGAGATAATTATGTGGGTAAAGAATGAGAAAAGAAAGCAAGCGAGCTGACTAAAAAAATAAATCACAGAACAATAAACGGCGGAATATATCGTCGCAAAATTTGGCAGAGCACGAAAGCAGAAATGTGGAGGTTGATTATCGGTAATTCGCAAATGGTAGTCGCCCTTAGGGCATCAAGTAGGTCGAGAGCAGGTTAGAGACAAAACACATCAACTGTGCAGATCTCTGTAGTCATCCTTAATTTTGGAGCTTTCGTGACTGCAGGAATTATTCTTTGGTTCCTGTGTTGCTCGATCTATGTATCTTGGTGCTCCCTCTAAGCCTTCGTACTCATTGACATGTAAATTTTTCTCTAACCCCCTCCCTCTCTCTGCCTCCGCCCCCCTCTGTCTATTTAAGGCCACCCCACAGAGACGATCACCCCTCTCTGTACCTGTGTTGCTCTCTCTATGTATCTTGGTGATATATGTCTGCTTATATGTCTGTCTATAGTTTTCTGGTTAGATTTTATGTCGCTATTTCACTGTACCTGATGATGATTGCTTGTGTTGCAATCGAAACGTCGTATGCTATTATTTAATTTATTCTTTTATCTTTATACGTGACTTTACCGAAAAAAACAAAGAATAACTCTGTAGTCATTTAATTTTTTATTGTAACCCAGGAATCCCACTGGTTTTTGTTGTTGTTCAGATGAAGAAGAAGAGGAAGCATCAGACGTCATCCCTTGGAAGGAGTAAACACTACACCCTCATTGGTCTGAAACAAGGGAACGGTTCGAAAAAACTAGGCGGAATTAGCGCGGACGTCGCTCCAAGAAGCGGAGACATGGTTTGCCGGAGCGAACTCGGCCGGTGCCATTCGCCAAACGCTTACACGGGAAAAACGGAACGACGCACGCAGTGGAGCGACGCCACAGTCGTTCTCGTGTTCGCAAAAGGAGGCGAGTACGACCGTGAGAGACTCATTAGGCTTTGTATCCTACAAAGAGAAATTGGTCCCCCCCATCCCCCAGACAAAAGATCGCTGCGAACAGAATAAACGAAAATTGCAGAGGCCAAACGGCCGTGAGGATACGGCCGAATTCTTGGAAAGAAAGAAATTCACGAAATATCATGCACCATTATGGGCATCTGTTTGTAAGGTATGAAAATGCATTCGATTAAGTGGAAATTCATGCATTCGTCCAATCCGTGAGCAGACCAACGACTAAATTAAACATATTTAGAAATGATGAAAAGCCCTTTGTAAGAGGTGGAATTGTTACGCTGAGATTTTGTTGCTGTTGCAGAGAGCGATCCAAATACATTTCAGACGCCACTCAGGCAAGCGTGCCGCGCTTCTCGCCAGAGTTACGCAAGGCAAGGTTTGTTAGAAGACGTTTGGTCAAAATCCGATCGGGGATATAAAAAAAGGCATGAACCTAAGTGGGGAAGTCACGAACCGCATCAGATTCGCCGATAAAGAGTCACGATAACGACCGATGGAAATTTAATGACGGGAAATTATCGCGGAGCTTAATAAACACAAGACTGCAAAGTTGGGCTCATGATGAAAAAAAAATAGCGGAACAAAAGTCACAAACAACGAGTTCGCGAAACGAATGAGGATTTTTTTTCTGGACGACACAACCAGGGAAAACTACGGCACCTTAGTGGGCTTTGCCTGGTAGGATGCAAATGGTTTAGTGTTGTATTTGTATGAGTCTGGGTGATTTGTTTACCTTTCTTGTAGTTTGCACTCCGATTGTGTCTTTGTACTGTTTGTTGTTGTAACGTTTTTACCCGCTCCGACTGGACATATGTGAAAAAGAGCTTTAATAGCTTATCAGATTCCTCCAGTAAAAATACATATTCTGTATCTAATGAAGAGGAGAGCAATAGGCCCTGAGCCCCTTGCCGTGGCGCTCTGAATCAGAATCTTAAACTCAAGACTGGAGAAATCCGAAGAGCCATTAAGCTCTTTTTGGGCGTGTCAGATTGCTTCAAGATGGCGGACAGTCAATGCCAATCAGCGCGCGGGCTCCTGTTACGATGCGCTGCGGGTTAACAGGTCGTTCGATAGAAAAGCACTCTGGACCGCACGCGCCCCAGGCGAGCGTGCTCTTAGAAAACTGAACTTGACAATGAAAAGCAACATCTGAACGCATACCTAACAAAAATGTTTAAACAGTAGCGCATATTACCCGCGGCGATTTTATTGCAGATCGAAACGTGTCACGAATTCAGAAAGGTGTGCAAAGAAATGTGGAGAATCTCCATGGAGGATCTCTACGAGAGAATCTCTACGTCAGCGGTTGTTAACGTGCTGTGCGAGATGCCCTTTCTGGGGGGTGCGAGACATGCCACATTGTTTTTTGGGTAAATAATCGAAATGCATAATTAATAACGGGCACGTAAGTACAACTACTTTGTATTGATTCACGTAATAAATATGTGCTTTGGTTCTTTCGGTAAAGTCGCGTAGATATAAAAATAATACAAAAATAAAGTGAATAAAAAAAATGAAGACGATCGCTTGTGTTGTGATCGAAACGTCGTGGTGTTTTTATTATTATTATTGAAAGAACCAAGAATAAGTCTACATTATAGACTGCCAGTACACTCACAAACCTTAATAACCAGGCTACAGTCTACATTATAGACTGCCAGTACACTCACTGCGATTAAGAACCAGGCTACAGTCTGTATTAGCGGTTTATTTAATTTTTATTATTTTTATTCACTTCATTTTTTTTCTATCTACGTGACTTTACCGAAAAAGAAACCAAAGCATATGAATTCCTGCAGTCACGAAAGTTTTAAGTCGAAATAATGAACATGTTTAACGATTCAGAACCAAAGCGGTGCGACAAGGCTGCCAGTGAAGTTTAAGAACCACTGCACTCCACTGTTGGTGTCGACCGGACGGGCGATGATGACGACAACGACGACGCCGCCGACGATTCCGCACCTGATCGTTGCCGTAGTCGAAGCCGTGCTGCGCCAGCGAGCGCTGCCTCATCGCGACGGTGAACTCCTCGAACTCGGGCCGCACCGAGCGGAGCAGCGTCACCGTTTTGAGGGCACGGAACGCCCTCCGAGCTTCGTCGTTGCGGCCGTCGTCCCTCAGCCAGTTCCCGTTGCCTGAGAAACGCAGCAAGGACAGCGTCTCCTCTCTCTCTCTCTCTGCCTCTCTCTCTCTCTCTCAGACCAGACCCATGGCATCGGCAGAGCTCGCGAACCAACCGGCGATGTTAGCCGTGACACCCGGTGGGAATTGAACCCGGGTTTGCCGGGGAGCCTAGAGCGTGCCCGTGCGCTGGCCGCTGCTCCCCGCCACACTTGTGTAGATTTGACACGAAGATGAAGACCGCCTTCCCTTTAACAAGCTGTTTGGGGAAAGTGCTGTTCGTGAGCACCTGTTAAGAAGAGGCCAGTGTGGCCAGCACCCCGCCCAGCCGCCTTTGTCTCCCCAGTGCTGATGTTTACACACTGAGCCCAGGTACTCAGTTGAAGCTGAATTGACCTAAGGGAGGCCCAGAACCGATGTTGGCTTTGAGCGGGAATTCGAACCCGAATTGCCGGGTTAGGAACACAGTGCGCTAACCACTATAATACCGCTCCCCCGGCACACACACACACTCTGACACACGGTTATTGGGCAGTCACGGCTCATGGCTATAATTCTATGAAGCAATAAAACCAGACTTTGGTAATTGGGTGCAGGTGGATTAATTGGCAATTGCAATGTCAAGGCAACGTGATGCAAATATAATGCAGGGTCAGGGGCTCACACAAGAGCAGTGCTCCTGGGAAGCTTTCATGAACTCCGCGATGGGGAAAGTGCTCACGCAGAAGGCACTGTCATTAGCACAATCAGAATCCGATGAGCTATAAAGCACTTTTTTAAAGATGCCCAGTAGGGGGCACGGGGTCAGAACGTGGCAACAACGAGAATCGCAAAAAACAAAACATGATAGGAGTGCAAAGTTTAGGCAAGGTAATCAAATCCCCCCCCCAAAAAAATCTATGTTTGTAAAACTAAAACAATTTTTTTAAATCTCACCAGATAAAGCCCACTGAGCCATTGGCTTATTTTTCAGAAGCGACCTTGGTGCGGTCATCGAATGAGAAGCTCAACGAAGTGGCTTCATCATCGCGCGGAATATTTTACGGCAATAAATCTAACCCGGCTTCGGCGTGCATCGCAAACCCGGCAAGCTGGCAACGACCGGGATAAAAAAAAAACAATCCGAGGTGGATTTTTTGTGGCCTCATCAACCCCATGGAGCCCAGAGGAGTGTGCCTACTTGTCGGCAGGGTACAGACGCCGTGGTTTTAATTTGATTTTGAACGGCGTGGGCTTACGGCGAGCACAGTGGCGACAACCACGGAGCGATGTGCCTCGCTATCTCTCCAACCCCCCACCCAACCTCCCCCCCGATTCAAGAAAACTTTGCACAGCTCCACGATCGACAGGCCTTTGCGCACGCATCTGGCAAATAAAGGGATTCAACGTTTCTCTTGGGCATGGCCAGAAGCAGAGGTGTCAGCCGATGGAAGTCGGCGAGAGAAAACACGGAGCAAATGACGCGCACACTCTTATATAAGCGCACAACTTTAATCTATCTTTGATGAACGCTGCAGTCTACGTCGTTTTCATGCAGGGGGCGGTGCAAACCTACTCGCCCCCTGCATGAACGACGGAGGCGCAGGAACAGACGTTCGATTAAGTTGGAATCGATCTGCAGATGGCGGTTTTCTCACACGGCCAGCAGCTCCGTGTCGCCTTATCTCGATCCCGCAATCCCAAACGGGTGAAAGTCCGCATCGAAACCGAACCCCCGGCAAGGCCATCTACTTAACGCCGAGAGAAAATTCACGCGAAATGTCCTTTTTCAATGAAGTCTTCCAGATGTAAAATGATATAAGCGTTTAATGAAGAAATAAAATTATCTAATTCAAAACATAATACAATTCAAAGATGTTTCATTTTTAAACTTCAAAACGGAGCATCGGGTGCTTGCGTGAATGCGTCGTTCGTGTGCAATTTTTTTGTGACTTTCCTGGCTGAAGGCCGTAAACGGTTGTGAGGGACACCACAGGCACCCCCGAACAACCCCTCTTTGTATATGTGTGTGTGTCCAAGTGTAGACGAGCAATTTCTGGTGATAATGGCTATCGCAAAAAAATGAAAAAAAAAACCCACATAAATTGGGCTGCGAAAGCGCACAGCGGGGAGTCTAAAGATGCTCTGAATGTCAAGATGACAGCATCAAGAGTGGCGCAGTCATCTTGACAGACAAGCCGGCTGGGCTCTCCCCCCTGTCACCCCCCCCCCCCCCCCACTTCAGCCCCCAGCCCCCCTCCATTTCCCTCACCGTAGATGGTGCTGTTGAAGAGCTCGATATTGAAGAAGACAAAGTCACCGTTCGTCATCCCCTTGCGCTGGGCCTCCAGCATGATGTTGCGGACCGTATCGCCGCTCGCGCATATCACGACCACTGCACGCACACGGCACACACACACACGGGGCAAAGATAAAGGTCCCCCGTATAGCCTTAACAGACTGTTGGGCCAAGTGCTGTTAGCGAGTAGCACCGATGAAGGCCGGCACGGCACACGAGTGGGTGGGTTGTCCAGCACCACGCCTATGTCTCCCCAGTGGCGATGTTTACTCACCACACCAAGCACTAATTTGAGACTGAGTCGACCTACACACACGCACGCTTGGGATTTACACGGCCGATACCCCCTGCGAACGGAGGCTCAAGAAAGTCAGTTGGTGTCGCAGTTACGAACAATTGGAGCCTGAGTTCGATTCCCGGCGATGACCCAGCATCAGTGGTGGCGTGTGAAATCTGAATCGGCCCTGCGTCTTTGCAAATACACAACCATGTTGATGTTTTTTTACACGCTTTTATTTAACTCACTCTGTTGTTGTTGTTGTCGTTGTTGTTGTTGTCGTATCCTCAAATCTTGTAACTCAATTTTAACCCACTTCCCAATGTGGTATTGACTGCAAACTTGGTATACTTATGTCATACTGATGACAAGACTATATTCTATCATTAAAAAAAAAAATTATTTGTTTTTAAACATTTTTTTTACATGTTATGACAAGCCTCGGGGCCACTTCCTCGAGTCATGGAGGTCTGCCATTACTCGTACGGTACATTTAATTAAAGCGTGTTTTTAAAAAAGTTATTTTTTTATATTACTTATTTCTTTTTCGCTTACAATCGCGAACCACCCTTGTTTCGTCTGAGCCGCGTAAACTTCCGTTTCTCAACGCATCTCACCGCAGGCTCAATCAACGAATGATCCTTTGGAAACTCCCCATCACCACCTGGCTTCTCACCTGTCACCTAAATTCGCCGAAGATCAAGGAGATGCCATCGTGGACACATCACCAACAGATTCTACAATCTGGCCGTTCCTGCCACTGCTCTGCAGCAGAGACGCAGAAACCTCCAAGATCTGCTGTTCGCGCAATATCCCACCACTATCTGCTCTCACCTACACTGACACAGAGATCTATAGAATCATACAGGGACGTTAAGACTCGTACAGAGACCCACAGACTCACACCGAGACCCACAGATCTGCCGTCCGCGCAGTGTCCCACCATCTGCTCTGACGTTGGCACAACCCGTTCTGAAATCGCTCATCAATGGTGGTAGTCGTGGCCGGGAATCGAACTCGGGTCGCCGGGTTAATCGCCCAGCCCGATCACCGCTGTGCGGCCATTCCACCCCAAAAGCAGTGCTTAATTAACACTGTTATTGTACAAACGTGTTCTTGTTCTAAACACGGATCTACCAGTCCACATATCTGTACATAAGAAACGCGTTATTTTCACGTATGAAGTAGACAGTTTATATATTTTTTTAAGATAAACTTAATCTTGTAATTCTTGTACATTTCACTGCATTGTGACGTAAACGCATGCGTAAGCCTTCGTGCTATATATAGTCACGTGTTGCAGTGGGGGAGCGGTGGGGCAGTGGTTAGCACACTCCGTTGCGATCTCCCGATACTCGAGTTCGATTCTTGGCCACGGCTAACGTCAGTGGCGAGGTGAGTGAAATATGAGCTGGCCCCCCACACACCGCCTCGCCTCACCAGCCCCCCACTGACCAGCATGGTGAAGTATGGTCAAATAATGCCCCCCACCCACCCCCGTGACCGCCTCATGCAGCATTTGGTTATCAAAGTTCGATAAATCTTTGCGATGAAATTTCGATTTAAAGCTTTCGTGACTGCAGGGATTCATCTTCTTGGTTCTTTCGGTAAAGTCACGTAGAGTGGAAATAATAAAATAATAAAAAATTTACATAATAAAATATTATTTTATTATACTACAAGTTAAATGCAATAATATGGCTAATATAGACGACTTCTATGTGCATCCACGTGCGTAAACATTGCTCACTTGTGCATTGTAACGTGTGACGCTGCAGCTATTAAGACGATATCAGTAAAAAAAAAGGCGTATATTGATTTGAAGCTTTCGTGACTGCAGGAATCCATACTCTTTGCTTCTTTCGGTAAAGTCACGTAGGTAGAAAATTAAAATAAAATAAAGCACGGATTTTACTTTATACCTACGTGACTTTGCCGAAAGAACCAAGGAGTATAAAACAAGCACATACAAAAAATAGGCGACGTTTCGAGCCGTGGCGGCCCTTCATCACAGCACATGGCCAACGCAGACTCAACAAAATAAGTAGTCGATCGGACGCTGGCTCAGTTCGCGTGAGAAAGTCGAAATCTCTACCACCTACAAGGGGCCAAACCGGCCCTAACCATCAACGGGCAGCCGTATCGGATCTCAATAGTGATTCGAACCGGATGATCTACCTTCCAAATTAGCCAGCAACATTTAACAAGCAGCTGCTACGTACGGGGCAATGCAGCTTGTACTGTGAGGGGTGGGTGGGTAGGCGGGGAGTGGTGGCGCAATGGTTAGCGCACTGTGGTCTGAACCCGTTCGTCCGAATTGGAGTCCCGGCCACGGCTAAACATCAGCGGCGAGTGGTGAATCTGTGTCGGCCCTGGCTGGGCACCTTTGCATCACGAACCCGGACTGATCAGCATGGTGATGTAGTATTACAATTGCGATGGAATTAATAGTTTTAATTCTCCACAACAATTTAACAAACCGATACAATCTTCTTGGTTCTTTCGGTAAAGTCACGTAGAAGGGAAATAATAAAATAATAAAAATTAAACATAATAAAATAATTCTCACGACGTTTCGGCCACAACGCAAGCAGCCGACGTGAGTTTACCGAAAGAACCAAGAAGATGAATCCCTGCAGTCACGAAAGCTTTAAATCGAAAATTAAACCGATACAATGTTTAACCTGTGTTTGAAGAAACAAAAAACGTGTTATAGAAATAGGGGGGGGGGGGGCGTTAGAAACGTTATGAGATTGTTATCAGAAGCTTCAGTTCCCTTTTGAGAATTTGCCAAAGTAGTGTTTTGGTGGGTAATGGTGGTTATCTACAGATAATTAACGGATGTTTACATTCGTTTGTTTCTCAGTCCGCTTGTCCTGGTGAGGGTCGCTGCAGCAGCGTGTTGAGTAGTGGCGGTCCAGACTCTCGCTCTACGTTAACATACACTATACACTACTACACACTACTACACACCACTACACACTACAATATACACTACAATACACTACTGCACTATACACTACACTATACACTACTACACTATACACTACACACTACTACTACACTATACACTACTACTACACTACTACACTATACACTACACACTACACTATACACTACTACTACACTATACACTACTACACACTACTACACACTACAATATACACTACAATACACTACTGCACTATACACTACACTATACACTACTACACTATACACTACTACACTACACACTACTACTACACTACTACACTATACACTACACTATACACTACTACACTACACTATACACTACACTATACACTACTACACACTACTACTACACTATACACTACTACACTATACACTACTACACTATACACTACTACACTATACACTACAATATACACTACAATATACACTAAAATAGTTACTATACACTACAGTACTATACATTATATTACTATACACTACACCACTATACATTACTACACTACTATACACTGCAAAACATTACTACACTACTATACACTACAAAACATTACTAAACTACTATACACTATACTACTATACATTACACAATACTCCACTACAACACGATACACTACTATACACTACACTACACACTACACTATACACTACACTACTACACTATACACTACACTACTACACACTATACACTACACTATACACTACTCCATCTCTTCCTGGGGAGTTCCCAGGCCAGCCGAGCGACGCGTCCTGGGCCAGCCCCGGGGGTCTTCGCCCCGTGGGACGACGTCGCTGCCGCTGCTGCTGCCCGCTCGAGTTCCAGGAGGGAGTCTCGCGGGTAGCATTGTCCCTTACCAGGTGCCCGAACCACCTCGACGGGCTCCTCTCGATCCGGTCGTTAAAATACATAGATATGTTGAAATCCACTACTTTTTACCCTGACAATCGGTAAGAGAAAATCTGAATTGAAGGATGTCTAACAAGTCGTGTGAGACACACGCAAAAAAACAAAGAGAGAGATTTTCTTGGTTCTTTCGGTAAAGTCACGTAGAAGACGCGACTTCTACGTGACTTTACCGAAAGAACCAATAAGATGAATCCCTGCAGTCACGAAAGCTTTACATCGAAAGAGAGAGATGATACAAACTCACGGACGTCGTTCACTTCAGATGTCGTAGGGAACTTCACGCAGCTCTGGAGTGAAATGCGTGCGAGCGTTTAGAGTAAAACAACAACAACAACAACAAAACTTCCGACACATTCGTCAACAACACTATGCGTGGTCTTAATCGGAAAAAAACATCTTTATTAGACGACGTTTCAGGAAATGACCCTTCTTCATAGCGCTTACTTTCGAAGAATAATTGCTACAATATTTGCTCCTCTCACTTCTGCCGATGTTCCTTATGTCTTTCACTACGTCCTTGTGCTATGATGAAGGGCCGTTGCGCGAAACGTCGACGACTATATATTTGAAGGCCACACAGTGTTGTTGACGAATTTGTTGAGTTGTTTTGTTGTTGTTAATTGTGCACCGCTGCCGACGCAGCAGCAGCACCAGCGTCGCCATATAATTTGTATAAAAATTAAATCACTCAACATCCACAGTCAATCCACTGTTGGATGCAGGCCTCCCCAAGCCTCCTCCATCTCTCGCGATCCTGCGATGTGATTCATGATCCACCGATCATCTGCACGCGAGATGATTTCGTCTCAACATCTCCGCAGTTGAGGTCCTAGTGACCTTCCCAGGCTGATCTTAGCCAACAGGATGCTTTTAAACGTACGCACTCTGGACTGGTTTCTCCATACTTGTGGCGCATCAGCAGTGCAAGGCTTGCCAAACAAATGGGTGCCGTTTTAGCATATGTTATTGGTAGGTGCTACCTTCCTTCTACCCCATGGGTCGTCAGTGCCAACAAACTTTGACTGTCAACAAAAACAAAAAACCTGACCATCGTTGTGTGTCGGAGAGAGTGAGAGAGGGCGATCGCGTACCAATGACGTCTGGAAAACAATCAGTGTGAGTGTGTGTGTGTTTACCACGTGTTGCCTCTGCTGATGAGTCCCTAGAAAGGCGAAACCAGCCCTTTTTGCATTAGCTTGTAAGAGTAATAGTGAATCCAGCTCTCCGCTTGGAAGAGACCCGGTGTCTCAATTTGCTTTCGTTTAATTGGAATACCTATTGATTAATTCATTAGCACGCGAATTAACTAATTGGTGTGCCGAGCACATCGTTACTTCCATTGATATCTTGCTCTGCAAAGCGTATTGACCGCACGTGGCACACACGTGGCATGCACGTGTATATATAGAGGAATTACATTTTAATTATCCAGGAGGGATTTTTTTATTTTACAGCGTCTCAAGACTCGTTTTAAACGAGGGTTCCTGGATCGAGATATTTGGTTGATTTGAACTTTAAAAGAACAACGGCGTTTATGGGAGGAAACTGGAGGCACTCGGAGTAAAGCCACTCAACAACAACAACGATGATGATGATACCCACTTTCTGTACTGCCATCTCCTGGTCGCCTCGCTCGCTGCCCAGCGCCCTTCGCGAGTCTCGCGAATCTGTGCACGATCTACCAACCCTTGCTACCACCACCTACCACCGACCACCACGGCAAACCAAGCCTCATCTGAATGCGTCTTCCGATTGTGCCGCGTGTTGGTTGGCATGATGTCTGTCCGACGTTTCGCTGCACGCGCCTGGAAGGCCATTGAACCGACCGATTGAGAGGATCCCATTCCAGCAGAAAGTCCACTTCTCCATGGAGGAACCACGGCGGGTGGAGCCGAAACGTCGGACACCATCATCATCATACCAACACACACCGGAGAGTTACACACACAGCAGCACCACTGGAGCTCTGCAGTTTTAAATCATCTAGATTTACAACTCGTTTCTTTAGAACTGCTTTTTGTGAAATTCTTTGGTTCTTTCGGTAAAGTCACGTGGATAGAAAAAAATAATAAAAATAGTAAAAAATTTAAAAACGTTGCTTTTGTGTATTAGTTTGTTGTCCTTCCCTAGCACGGTGCGAAATAAGTTCAACATGCACACATACGAAAGTGTACGCGGACCAGTTGAGAATGCTCCTCTCCCTGTTTGCCCCCCCCCTCTCCTTCTTTGCTCCTCTCTCTTTGCCCCTCTCTCTCTCTCTCTGCTCCTCATCTCGCTCACTCACCTCTGCCCGTGCTCCTGATGTCTTCCACCACGTCCTCGTAGCTCTCCTTCTTCTCCTCGTTGAAGCCGTCGATCTTCACCAAGAAGTTCTCCGACTCGGACAGCGCCAGGTGGATACCCTCGGCGGCGAAGTAGCAGCTCCTCTCCTCGTGGTCGTCGTGGTACACGAGGGACACGCGCGACCACTGGAAGCTGCGCAACAGGTCGAGGAAGAAGACGCCCAGCTTGTGGTACGAGGGCGCCACGCGCGTGAGCATCGCGTACTCGCCCTGCTTAGCGCCGAAGCCCGCGGCCAGGGCGCCGGCCGTGACCACGGGCACGTTCCAGTGTCCCGCCAGACGCACCACGGGCGCGGCTGCGTAAACGCACGCGGGTCCCACGATGAGATCCGGTGCGCGCTCGCCGTGGAGGTCGACGGCGGCGAACAGCGCCTGGTTGCCGCACGTGGAGTCGGCGAAGCGCAGCGAGAAGCGGCGTCCGCCCCGTGCGCCGTCGCGTTCCGTGGCCTCGATGGCGAACTCGAGCGCGGGTCGCACGCGCGCCATGGAGAAGAGGTAGCTGTTGTCGAACGGGAGCAGCACGATGACGCTGATGTTACGCTGCTGCTGCTGCTGCGCTGCTGTTGATGCTGTTGTGACGGACCCGGATAAAAGGTAAGCAGCAGATGAGCGCGCAGGTGCGCGGGAACCAGTGTGGCACCATCATCGATGATCGACTCCCGCGGGACTCAGAGTGGAGCAGGGACGACACTCGCTGGGTGTGCTGGTGTTGTGTGCGCGGGGGATGCCGAGGGTGGTGGTGGTGGCTGTGGTCGCCGCGGTAGGCAGGTAGGAACGTGGCTGGTTGTATCTATAGGGGTCGACCTTGTTGCAACTGGTGGATGTGGAAAGTTACGCGTCGGGGAGCCCCGCGTGCTGCGCTGTGCGAGTTGGTTGCGAGTCCGGGGAGAGCACGCGCGAGAGGAGAGATGGAGACAGCGAGAGATGGAGAGAGAGAGAGGAGATTTCCCCACCGTCTCTTGTGGATAGGAGCCACCCTCTGCTGCAAAGGGAAATTCCTCCGCGACCCCCCCCCCCACTCCAGTCCGCCCCAACCCCCCACCCCCCACCCCCCTCCCCCCACCACATCCCCCCTCCACCATCCCAGCCCAACTCCCCTATCCTACCTCTGCTCCCATGCGCTTGTATATGCTAATGAGACGTACCGGGTGGGATTGGCTTGGAGAAGCGGTGGTGCTGCCGTCCGTCAGTTGCGCGCGCGGCGTTCTCGTTCAGCTGTCGTGGGGTATAGCGGTTTCAGCAACTCCCCCCCCCCCTTTGCTTTCGATCTCCAGGCGCGGCAGATGAATCGAGAGGCATTTTACTTGAACCCAACCCCCCACAACACCGACCTGCCCCTCTCGCTTCTTGATTTGCCCGACGGGATCAACTCCGATCAGCTGCTGCGATCAGGCGAGTTTAGTCAAGGGCTCCCAAAATGTGCCCATGATATGGGTGGTTACTTTTAGCACGTTCGGATACGTACGGTGCGATAGAAGTTCAACATGCACATGCACGTGCGTACACACGGGGAAGTGTCACCGAGTCTCAAGCCAATGGGTGGTGACTCGAGGCGCGTGCGGGACGAACAGAGATGAAGAGGAGGAGGCGAGGAGCAAGAGGAGGAATAGAAGGATGATGAGAAGTGTTGACGATGTTATTTGTTCGTACGTATGTTGACCTTCTTTCGCACCGTACGTAGCCAACCGTGCTAATCGGAGGTGCCGGGGGGTGTGGGGGTGGGAGGAAGAACAACAAACTACACCCACAAAGAAATTTAAAAGGAATGAGTTTTCAATGTGGACTATTTAAGAGTTCACAGCTCTCGGTGGCTTCATAATATCGGAAGGAAGAGCGTTCCAGACGGCCGGGGAAAGCGCATCTGAAAGCGCCGCGCGATGCGGTGTACCGTCTGTTGTTTCGACGTCCAGCCAAAATCATCTCTTCGAAGCTGCGAAGATGACCGGAGTTTGCGTGATGCTGATGATGATGTATTAACCCCCGTGACACTTGAGATCAGCAAAGGTATCGGTGTTTCATTTAGAGTCGAGCACTTTTTGTTGGGTAGTTTTGGGTTGAGGGTGAATCGAGTTGAGCGAGCCGCTGCTGTTGCAGAATCTTTGCCTAAGCACGGCTGTGCGGTCAAACTCGTTGCGAAGAATACAGGTTGACAACAAACGAAATAAATAAATCGCTCGTGTCATTCTCACTGTGACGATGTGCAGCCGCGGGCAAGTTGAGCAAATACGATAAAAAAGTAACTTCAACAATCATTCTAGATTTGAAGCTTTCGTGACTGCAAGGATTCATATTCTTAGGTTTTTCGGTAAAGTCACGTAGGTAATTTTTTTTAAATTAATAAAAGTAAAATAAAAATAAAATATTTTTTTATTTTACTTTCATTAATTTTAATTGTTTTTACCTATGTGACTTTGCCGAAAAAAAAATCTAAGAATATTCAACAATCATATTTATTTAAACTTCAGGAGGAATCCGATGAGCTATAAAGCTCTTTTTTTCCCCACAGATGTCCAGTCCGGGCAGGGGGTCAGAACGTTGCAACAAACAAAAAAAACAAAAACACGATAGGCGTGCATAGTATAGTAAAGTTAAACAAATAATCTTCTTGGTTCTTTCGGTAAAGTCACGTAGAATGGAAATAATAAAATAAGAAAAATAAAACATAATAACATAATTCTCACGACGTTTCGGCCACAACGCAAGCAGGTGGAGAACAGTTCTGTCGAGACCACCTGAGGACGACTTTACCGAAAGAACCAAGAAGATGAATCCCTGCAGTCACGAAAGCTTTAAATCAAAATTTAAACAAATCACTAAAATATACTCATCATCATAGTCATCAGCAAGACATGTTCTATCCACTGCTGTGTGAAAGACTCCAAAACACTGTCACACCATCCCTCTTGATCCCGTGATGCCACACTCTATCGGGGCTGCTTGCACATGAACTGACCTCATCGCTACGTGTCTCACCTTGCACACATTATTAACACACACACACAGTCTACACACGCGCGCACATCATCATCATCACCACGAGTCCTTGTCTATCCACTGCTGGATGAAGGACTCCCTGCACCGTCGCCAATCCCTGCTACACGTGAACCCGAAAATGTTTTTTTCTTCATTTTATTTGACCAGGTAAGGACCCCAGTTTTCAGAAGCGACCCGGCCTATCAGCAAATGATCGCTCAACGAAGTTGGCGGCTTGCCGTGTGGACATTATATAGCAGCATCCAGATGCTCTCAGCCGTGGAAACTGACCTCATCGCTCCATCTCTGCTGTCGTCATCGTCTCGGGCTAGTCGTCTTGTGGCTGCGACTCCGTAAGCGGCCCCCTCGTGCTTTGGGCATCATCCGTCGCTGCGGGTTGTCCCCTCCAAGCACCCTGGTTCCTTTTCTCAGCAGCCAACGCTCGCGTCTAAATCGACACGCGTTCCCTGATCCCCAAATGTTCCCTCATTCCAACGTGTTCCCTGATTCCCACGTTCTGCCTGATTCTCACATGTTCCCTGATTCCCGTGTTGTGGTCCATGATTCGCGCATGTTCCCTGATTCCCATGTAGGCTTCCCTGATGCCCATGTGTTCCCTGATTCGATTGTCTTTCCTGATTCCAATGTAGGCTTCCCTGATTCCCATGTGTTCCCTGATTCCCATGTGTTTCCTGATTCCAATGTAGGCTTCCCTGATTCCCATGCGTTCCCTGATTTCCATGTGTTTCCTGATTCCAATGTAGGCTTCCCTGATTCCCATGTGTTCCCTAATTCATGTGTGTTTCCTGATTCCAATCTAGGCTTCTCTGATTTCCATGTGTTCCCTGATTCCCGTGTGTTTCCTGATTCCCATGTAGGCTTCGCTGATTCCCATGTAGGCTTCTCTGATTCGCGTGTGTTTCCTGATTCCTGTGTAGGCTTCCCTGATTCCAATGTAGGCTTCCCTGATTCCCACGTGTTCCCTGATTCCAATGTAGGCTTCCCTGATTCCCACGTGTTCCCTGATTCCCATGTAGGCTTCCCTGATTCCCACGTGTTCCCTTATCCACGTGCTTGCGAATCCTGTCTCTCAGTGCAAATCTGTGCTTGCATCCCAGCAGCCCATGCTTGTGTGCTCACTCTTTAACGAGTGTTCCATTTCCGTTGATGCGGTGGATTATAATTATTATAATTATTGAAGAGGTAACGATTAAATATGAAGACAAAAAAACGTCTGCTTTAAAAATGCAACGGACATGCTAAAGTAATTTTTGGAGTATTTAAATATATTCAACGCTTTTAATTAGTTGGGTGAAATCACTTCGAACCGGGGAGGTGAACGTCACTGGCGAGTGAGACCTGAATCACTGGCCGGGCACAATGACAGAGCGTAGGGAGCCCTTCTTCACGGCATTGGAATGACAAAGCAGAGTAAATAATTCGCATTAGCATTAAAACCTTACAGGAGG